AATTAATATAATATATTAATATATATATATATTATATATATATATTTATATATATAATTATTACATATAAATATATATTATATATATGTGTGTGTCGGTATATATATATATATGTACATACACATTCTATCCGGGATAATTTGTGATAATTCTGATTTTATTTGTGAAGAAACGTAGTCTTACGAATGTAATGGGTTGACGTAAATAATAATTTGAGCAGATGCCAGCACATTATTCAATCTGCCGATTATTAATAATTTTTTATGATGTTTGTCCATAATAATTTATGTTGAATGAATGAAAATGAATTGTATATATTCTCTTAGAGATAGGTTTTTTACGTTTTATTTTTAAGATGTAATATAAGATGTCCCGTTTTAAAGGATCCATTCAAATATTTCTGAAACATCGAAAAATGTTTCAGACAAAAGTTTTTTTTACTTCAAGGGAGTGCATAGTATAAAATGGTATCATTGAATTGACCTTGGTAGCGTTTTCAAGGTCAGGACAAGATCATTTTAAATATTTTAAATGAAATCCCTGCCCTCATTTTTCATTATATATTATAGCTTATCTCTCGAGAGTTTTTTTATAACACTATAATTAACTATTTTTTCATTAAGTACTTTATGAGTTATAAGGCTTGAAAGTTACAATAGCATTAGCATTAGTATTATCCAAGGTGTCTGACTGATGACTAAAACCTCTTAAATGTTGCTCAGGATTACGAACTGGATAACAGTTGTCAAGATTAAAGCTATTGGAAGTTGCACCTCTTATTTTCATTTTTACGTAAAAATGAATTTTTAGTGCGAAAATTCAAAGTAACCTTACCTGATCTCAGCAATGCCACCCAAAGTGAAATCAATGCAACTTAAGTCTCTCTCGAAATAAAAAAACTTTTGTATATCTTCTGTAAAATAATACATTAACCGTCCATGAAAACTAATAGAATTTCATGAACAAAATAGCATTTGATGCTATGATACTACGAATGTAATTATCAATATCTTACAAATGACAACTTTTTTAGTGACAACTTCTGTGGAGTTGCTGAAGAAATTGAGTTCTTAGTACATCTATAAATATATACGACATATATATACGCTTTATGAGAAAAAGAATACATAAATTATTATTTTCTAATGTATATGCGTCAACAGAGAGAATTTGTTACGTCAACAGATATACTGTGTGTGTGAAAAGTTGTATGAAAGTTTCTAAGGAGGACGTAGGGAGAACTAGGCTCTCCAATGTCACATTCGCCTTAAACGTCCTACTATGTAATATAACATCGAGTACATTTTAGAAATAAAAAAAGGACATTGAATCAATGGCTCTGTTCAATGTACACAAATTCCCTAATTAAGATTTTCATTCATCTTGCACGTGCGGATGTAATGAAACGAAAATCAATGATGATGAGATGTAGACAACACTTACTATGGATTTATACTCTAGATATCTTTTATCAAGAGGTAAGAAAATTATCGATAAATAAACATTATTTTTTAAGAAGGGTGAAGAGTAAGATAATATGTAAGAAGAAAATTATTATTTAGGAAATAATAAATTATTCAGAGGAAAAACAATTAAATATCATTTCAGTTATCTTGTGTGCGTACTAAGATTCACTAAAGACGGTTGAAAATTATTCTGGATGATGGCATCTCAAAAGCACTTTCTATGTACGATAAATGGTCCTAGCTCGTCATACTCCTGCCTAGAAATCCACATCTGCTGAAACGTACTGAGACTGGCGAGGATCGAGCCACCGATCCACACCGAATATTTTCTTTCAGGAGGCGCGATTACTTTGATCTTCATGGTGGGCGGTGCGAGCTTCGCTATCTCCATCTGCATCCGATCGGCAATACCTGGATACATGGTAGTGCCGCCCGAAAGCACCAAATTGGCGTACAAATCCTTGCGAATATCAACGTCGCACTTCATGATCGAATTATACGTCGTCTCGTGTATGCCGCAAGATTCCATACCCAAGAGATTTGGCCGAAACATTGCTTCCGGGCAACGGAAGCGCTCGCTACCGATTGTTATGACCTGGAATCAAACCGTTATCCGTTACTTCTTCGTCCACTGACCGCGTGGCTAGCCAACCCATGACGAGTTAACACTTACTCGACGCAAATACGCGCGATTAATGCTAATGAGCGTATACTCCTATTATCGTCATGTTCATTACATTCATATTACAACTATCTATTACATATTTCTTTGTATCTATAATTTAAGACGTTATTTTTAAGACATCTTAAATTAAAATTAGCTTTATAATAAATTAGTAACAAAATTTCCGGTTTTTTCTCGGTTAGACTTTTTTTAAACGTAATTTCTCTCTTAATGAAAGATCTAGTCGCTATTGAAAAATCTTTGTATTGATTACACGAGAACATCGCATTCATAAAATGAGTCAAGTGACTCATTACCTGGCCGTCCGGTAATTCGTAGCTCTTTTCTATATTGTTTGAAGACTCCAAATCTTCTAATTCACACTCAAAATTTGGGGCAACGTAGCACAACTTCTCCTTGATGTCACGTACGATTTCACGTTCAGCGGTAGTTGTAAAGGTGTAGCCTCTTTCGGTCAGAATTTTCATCAAGTAATCTGTCAAGTCGCGACCGGCCAGATCCAAGCGTAAAATCGCATGAGGTAAAGCGTATCCTGAAGAAAAAGAAAAAAATTATTGAAACATTAAGCGCGTCACATAAAAATTGATATTCTTTTTAAATCGCACAGCATTAATGACTATACCATGAGAAATTGAAGCGATCAGTAGAAAGGAATACCTTCGTAAATCGGTACTGTATGAGACACTCCATCGCCACTGTCCAACACTATGCCAGTCGTACGTCCTGACGCATATAAAGACAGAACGGCTTGAATGGCAACGTACATAGCCGGAGTGTTGAAGGTTTCAAACATGATCTGTGTCATTTTCTCGCGATTGGCCTTGGGATTTAGGGGAGCCTCAGTCAACAAAACGGGATGCTCCTCTGGTGCGACTCTTAATTCATTATAGAATGTATGATGCCAGATTTTCTCCATGTCGTCCCAATTAGTAACGACACCGTGCTCTATAGGATATTTTACAGTGAGAACTCCCCGTTTACTCTGAGCTTCGTCGCCTACGTAACTGTCTTTTTGTCCCATACCGACCATAATTCCCTAAAAATACTCATGATTACAATATGTTTAATTACTCATGATTACAATATGTACAAATTTGTATAACTCATCAGAAATCTATATTTTTTGTACCTGATATCGGGGTCTTCCAACAATAGAAGGAAATACAGCTCGAGGAGCGTCATCCCCTGCAAATCCAGCTTTGCACATTCCAGATCCATTGTCAATTACCAACGCGGCTACATCGTCGTCACACATTTTAAAATATTTAACAAATGACTTTACAGCAATATATCAAAGCAGAATACGAATTGTTTGTATAACAAGTTAATAAATAGGACAACTGAGAGACTAGATGATACAACGTTCTCGCGTAACATTAGCTTCTGAAGCATTGCGTTTCTTCCTAGAAGAGTTGCTTTATATGAGCTCCCCACCTTCCACCCACAAATCCACGCACACATCTGTCTCTTTTTATGTGACGACCAGAAATGAATAACATTTTAAATAAGCTTAACACTACCAGTTTCCTTTACATTAATAGATACAGAAAGAACATATTCGCTTATTATTAAAAAAAAGATTACAAGTGGACTGATTTTGAAATTTGTTTATAAAGTCGTAAATTACAGTGAATGTATCAATAACGAAAATATAATTTGTAAATATATATAGCTTTTAACATAGTTATATAATATAGTTTAACATTAAAAATAACGTGCGCATAAATGATACAAATAAAAATATATTTAACGATATGTTTCACTTAGAAGTATAGTATAATAGAATATATACGAAGATTACAATTGTGATTTGTTATCACTACATATATATTATGTAAAATAAAATTCAATATATAACATTCCTTTCGTACATTTTTTTTACTTTTTACAAAGAAACATGTATATATTTTAAATAAAAGACTTAATTGCTCTTTAATACATGCCAATTATAACTGGCAGCTACTATTTATAGTATTATCCTCAATAAATGCGTGAAGTTCTCGCAGTAATTAGAGCATAAATTTTTCTGCGTTCCTGCAGCCGCATTAATTTCCCTGCAAATTTACACTAAACTGCAATCTTTTTAGGCATAACACGAGGAATGTAATGAATTTCATTTGCAAAAATTTTCCAAGCAAATAAATTTTATTTAAAAATAAAATAACTTTTATCACTGAAATCTATTTAAAAATAGATTTCTACACAGCAAGTAAAATGAATCGAACTAACAAGATTCAATGATTCAATCATAGAACATAACTATTATTCGTTCAATAAGTTCTCTCCATATATGTCATAGATTGACAAAATTAAACAAAAAATGAAGGAAGCAAGGGAAGCTCATAAAATTAACGGGCTAAAAAGTTTAATTGTTCTAAATTGTGTCTCCTATAAATGTGTGCATTTTTTAAAAATAGATAATCAATGTGCTCGTGGTTTCATGAAATACATTTAACAAACAATGTTACATATTTTTATAAGAATATGGTATAATTATATTGGCCCTTCAATAGTTTTGTTAGCAATTTTTACTATTTTATATAATTTCAATCAATCCATTTACACTATCAATTTATAATATTGGATATATATATATATCATATATCAATTTTTATATTCACATATAACGCAAATTTGTGACTGCTGTTATTCTCATTCACATAATTTCTAGATAACAAGCTTTATTACTTTAAGAATACTTTACAAACCAATGTGCATTACAGAGAATCACTGTTCCATAGACTGATCGCCCACTAGAGCGATCTTTATATATAATTGCTGTATTTCGCTCCCTAATTAACTGCTCGACTAATGATATTAATTAGGCTGTGAAATTAAGTATCCAGTTCAGTCTGAAGTTTTTGCATAAACCACTTTTGATATTTTAATATTATAATGCTATATAAATGTAATATAATAAAAAGGCCACATATAAACAATTCGCGCAATCATTATTTTAAAATATGTGATTATGATTAGACAAGCAATACCTTTTTTATAGCTACATGCATATACACACACGCACAAACATACGCGCGCGCGCACGCATGTCAGTAACGTGCAAAATGCATGTCAGAATATATATACAATATATATATATATATATATATTCGAAGATATTAAGTAAAATAAATATAATAAACATGATGTAAACACATTTTAAAGAATATAAAGAAAGAAATAATCAGAGGACACATATACTATGGAAACAAAAATTTCTTTTGTTTTCTTTTTAATTATTCTGACATGCACTTCCACGCATATTATATACATATATTAAATTTTATATACAAATACTGCACAAAAAGCAGTATTCCAAGATATGGACTTTCTTTATAAAGCAATAATATTTTGTAATAAGAATAAATTAGAAAGTATCAATTGCCAACATTATCATTATAACAGTCTTAAAAGTTTTACTTATCCCAGAGTCCGACTTCTTTCATACGTGTTTGAAAGTATTTTTCCAAAGCATTGGCACAACGGTAATATTCAGTATTAGGACTATTATACAATCTACAGTTACTGAAAATCCGTAACATGTCTGCTATAAACAATCTCTTTATTACATAGTATCCCGAATTCAAGCGATCATGCATCGTCTTGAGATCTATACGAATAAATGCATTTTGTTACAAAATGGAGTTTCTTGTATTCAATTAACTACTTTCAAATAATGAGACTACGTAATTATTTGCACTATATAAGATTTTAAACAGTAAAATATATGGACACTTTTAAAACTCACCCATAGGATATTTTATATGGTCGTAATAATCTGGTACATCATTTTTATCTACAGGTTTCAAAAAAGGCCACGCTGTGCTGTGTTTTTTCACACTATTCAGAACACCATTTAATGTATTACATAAAGAATCTGGAACCTCTAAATTTGTGTCCATTGATTCTGGACCTTGCATTCCTTTCGCCACACCTCTTGTTCTAGTTTGAGAACAACTTTTCCATCCAGTTTCATGAATCCCTGGAATACACTCGATGGGGATTCCCCTTAAACCTTCCTTAAAACACGTTAAGCCAGGATGCACTTTCTGTATTTCTTGTTGTCTCTGGTGAATCAGCTTTTTCACTATTTCCTTCTGTTTCCTAATAACTGCCGTAAATTCAGTATATACAATTTTTGGATTTAGCTCACAATGCATTAATGTCGCTCCCACGTAATATTTAATGTACCCCTGGTGCACCGACTTCGGCAGTTTTATATCTTTGCTAAATCCCTGTTTCTTAAAATATCCAATAGCAAAATCATCAGCGAATGTAAGAAAATGCAGTATGTTGTTTTTAATATGATAATCTTTCAACATGTTCATTAAGTGCGTTCCATAGCCTTTTACTTGCTCATGGCTCGTAACAGCGCAAAACACTATTTCGGTGAACCCTTGACTTGGAAACATACAAAAGCAAATCCCACCAATCGGACTACCATCCTTTATCAAAGCTAATGTTTTATGCTTTCTGTAGGGGGGAGACAAAGAATACTATAATGAATACATTCGTACGTAAAAATATTTAAATTATAAGTATCATAAAATTATAGTAATATTATAGTATACTAAATTATCGTTACTCACGGATCAAAAACAAGTTGAGTAATGTATTCTTTGGGTGTTTTTGGTAATTGATGACTGAATATATCTTGCAGCCCTATTAGCCAAAGCATAGTTTGCTTAGACACTGGCCGTGTCAGGCTATTTCCGACTACATGAAATTCTATTATCTTTTTACTTTCTTCTATTTTAGCAGTTTCGTCTCGTGGCACGTTTGGTGGAAATACTGCGTCAGAACCAGACATATAATTAGTGTCATTAATAGATGCAACAATTTCGGCAATGGTCTCATCTGGTAGATCCTCGAAAGTTTCTTCATTTTTTCGCCTTTTTGCCTCAAGACGTCCCTCGGCATTAGGACGTTTCTCCTGGATCTTTTTAATTCCAGGACTAATATTTATTGTTGTAAAATTGTCTTTTTCATTTGGAGTGACAGTAACTTTTTCAAATTCTCCCGTTTTTCTTGCTTGATGAGCTTTTGATTCCAAGGCAGTTTGAAAGTGAGAAGGTGGAATTTGTTTAAATTCAGGATCCCAAATTGGAGAATTGTCGGAATAAATTTCCACTTCTAACGATGATAAAAACCTTGAATAAAATATGATAAATTGATATTTACAAGTTATGTATATAAGAAATGAAAAAGAAATGTAGAACATACTTAGGAAAATGTGTTAAAACTAAAACTCTTTTCTCGGGTGCAATTTTATCTCTTTCATTATTACACTTATCCATTAACTGTCTGCAAACTGATCTAAACACGGCTTGTAACAGGGTTTTTCCAAAAACCAAAGGAGTGTCGTAATGTGGCAAGGAGTCACAAAATGCAGGCACATGACAAAAAACGAGCCAGCGGGTATAATTAATTTTATAAGCAGGAGCTTCATCTATATTGATTGTTAACCGTCTGGCACTGGGTGCTTCAAAATTCCAAAAATTCAGGCAGTGTAAAAGCATCTTTGCCATGTCGTACATAATCTGCCATTCTCTCGATGGCAAATGACTAAATTTATACAAAACAAAATTCATTACTGCTTTCGCTATGTTAGGTCTTTCAAAGGGTGGTTGCCCTAATGGGCCTTCTACAGTTGGCTTTGTCATAGACAAGATACAGTTTCTCAATAATTTGTACAAATAAATATATACTTTCTTAGTATCAGAATCTACTTCTCTGTGTGTACATGCAAAAATATTGTCAGCATCAATAGCCATTCCCAATAATCGATTGATTTCCTCATCAGACTGAACCGGTAAATGTTTGATATGATTTTCCAAGGGATGAGTACATATCTTGCATGTGTCAAAAAAATTTATAACAGGCTGCTGTATCTCGCCCTTTGGTGATTTTATAAGTGGCTGTGCATTTTTCCAGCCTGTACATTTGCATTCCTCTGTTTGACAAGCACTGTAATTTGCAAGCTTCAACAATTTCTTTTCTTGTGGCCAATTGTACGTTTGCTGCTTGCGTTGATGTATCCTTTGCAGATTACTCGTACGATTTACTTGAGCCTGCGGCTTAGCTGAATTTGCATCCTTAGTATTACTTTCTTGTTGCAGAGTACTGCTGGCAGGTTGTCCAGTCTCTTCCAAAGAAGCGGTTGTATGAGAATTGATGTCCTCGGATGCCATTCTACAAAAAATCATTATAATATTCATGTTACGGATTGAACAAGTTGTATTTGTGTGAATCAGTCGTATCATAATCGTAATAATTTTTTAGGTCACTTACGTGAATTTATACACACATTAAAAAGTTTCTTCACAAGTACAAGGAAATTAAATCGCAATTTTATACGAATCGAATTAATTATACGTTTCTGCTCTCAGTGACATTTATACTCAACTATTCGACAATGATATTCAGATTTAAATAAACAATTACGATAGCCGCAAAATTTTTATGTCGTTATAAAGAGCATTCTCTACGATTCTCTACAATTTCTAATGTTATTATTATATCGATATATAGGACAGTTTGACAGATTAGGTTAGGTTATATAAAGTGTTCTCCCTAATGCCTCCTACACACTGGGCGCATTCAGCAGAAAAGAGCGCTACGAGAGCGCTCGCTGTTATTGGTGTATTCTTCTAGATCATCCAATCAGAATTTTAAATCTGGAAGAATATACCAATAACAGCGAGCGCTCTTGTAGCGCTCTTTTCTGCTGAATGCGCCCACTGTTACATTATGCTGCATCAAGAAACGTAACGATATAGGATAACACATGTCCAAGCAAAGGCCAATTGTTTTCTGTTGTTTGGAAGTAATAATATATGGCGGAAGATGACTGGCTGTCATATGGGCTTTAAAGTATTTTTTAGCCCGCAAACAAAACAGAGTAGTAAGCCTCAAAAACCTTAAAAAATTGGCCAATCATAGTCGATTATTCTTCTCACATTCGACTGCAATCTCTGTCAAATGGATTTAAATCTTTATTCGTGGGGCTATGTATGATTTAAGTTTTCTTTAATATAAATTAATTTCTGTGAAATCTGAATTTTTCTTATATTAAATTTTAAATTCGAAAATTTCACGAGCAAAGAATAAATTTTGATTCAACTTTTTAGCAACTGTCCTAAGTAGCTATTAGAGGAACAAATAATAAACAATTATCATTTTTTGATATTTTTTTATATGATAAGATACAAAAAATTCTACTTATCCCACAGACCAATCTCTTTCATACGTGTTTGAAAGTATTTTTCCAGAGCATTAGCGCAACGATAATAATCAGTTTCGAGACTATTGTACAATCTACAATTTGTAAAAATTCGTGTCATGTCAGCAATAAACAATCTTCTAGTTACATAGTATTTAGACTTCAAACGATCTTCCATAGTTTTGAGATCTGCAATATAAAAAATCATGTATTATTAGTTCCTGATATATTAAGTTTTTTTTATTTTTTCAAATTTATATTTAATATTTAATTATTAAAAATTGCTTTAAAATGTATTATATCTTCTCTATTATATCTTCTCACCCATTGGATATTTTATATGATCATAGTAGTCTGGAACCTCGTTTTTGTTTACAGGTTCCAGAAATGGCCAAGCTGTGCTGTGACTCTTCACACTATTCAAAACACTGTTTAAAGCGTTATAAAGAGCCTCTGACATATCCATGCAATCTATAAGTTCAGAACCTTGTGGTCCTTTGGCCACACCTCTTGTTCTTGTTTGAGCGTAATTCTTCCATCCGGTTTCACGAATTCCTGGAATGGATTCGACAGGAATACTTTTCACGCCATCTTTAAAGCACGTTAAGCCCGGATGAACCTTTTGTATATCCTGTTGCCTTTGATAAATTAATTTCTTGACGATTTCTTTTTGTTTCCTTAATACTGCTGTAAATTCAGTATATACTATTTTTGCATTTAGTTCACAGTGCATCAATGTCGCTCCTTCGTAATCTTTGATATATCCTTGATACATTGGCTTCGACACTTTTATATCTTTGCTAAATCCTTGCTTTTTAAAATATCCAATAGCAAATTCATCCGCAAACGTAAGAAAATGCAGTATGTTGTTCTTAATGTGATAATCTTTTAGCATGTTCATTAAATGTGTTCCATAGCCTTTTACTTGCTCATGACTTGTAACAGCGCAAAATACAATCTCAGTAAAACCCTGAGTAGAAAACATGCGAAAACAAATACCGCCGATTGGACGTCCATCTTTTATCAGGGCCAATGTTTTATGTTTCCTGTGTGATAAGCAATGACTTATTACTAAATAAATTTCTACAATAAATTAACATGTTATTAATTTCAGATAATACTCACGGATCAAAAACAAATTGAGATATATATTCTTTCGGCATTCTGTCTAATTGATGGCTGAATACATTATGCAATCCTATCAACCAAAGCATAGTTTGCTTAGATACAGGCTGTGTCAGACTGTTTCCAATAACATGGAATTCTATGATCTTTCTACTTTCTTCAATTTTAGCAGTTTCATCTCGTGGAACATCCGGAGGAAATACTGCATCAAGCCCATACATATAATTGGGATCATTAATAGTTGCAACAATTTTAGCAACAGTTTCCTCTGATAAATCTTCAAAAACTTCTTCACTTTTCCGTTTCTTAGCATCAGGTCGCCCTTCGGAATAAAAACGTTTTTCGGGAAATCTTCTTATTCCAGGGCTAATATTTATCGTTGTATAATTATCTTTCTCGTTTGGTGTAATAATAACTTTTTCAAATTCTCCTGTCTTTCTTACTTGCTGTGCCTTTGATTCTATAGCAGCTTGTACATGAGGTGGTGGTGCTTGTTTAAATTCAGGATCCCACATGGGTGAACTATCAGAATAAATTTCAGCTTCTAGTGCCGAAAGAAACCTTAAATACAAAGAATCATGTAGTTTCTATTATAATCACGAAAAATAAATGTAAGAAGAGGAAAGACTTAATATACACACGTACTTAGGAAAATGTGTTAAAACTATAATTCTCTTCTCCGGCGTTATTTTGTCTCTTTCATTATGACATTTATTCATTAATTCTCTACAAAGTGGTTTGAACACGGCTTGCAATAAAGTTTTTCCAAAAACTAAAGGAGTATCGTGATGTGGTAAAGAGTCACAAAATGCAGGAACATGGCAAAAGACTAGCCAGCGAGTATAATTAATTTTGTAAGAAGGAGCTTCATCTGCATTAATTGCTGCTTGTCTAGCACTGGGTGCTTCAAAATTCCAGAAATTCAAGCAATGTAGAAACATCTTTGCCATATCACACATAATTTGCCAATCTGCTGGTAGTAAATGACTAAATTTATATAAAACAAAATTCATTACTGCTTTTGCCATGTTAGGTCTTTCGAATGGTGGCTGTCCCAATGGACCTTCTATGGCTGGCTTTGTCCTAGACAAGATACAATTCCTCAATAATTTGTATAAATAAAAATAAACTTTCTTAGTATCAGGATCTGCTTCCCTATGTGTACATGTTAAAATATTATCTGCATCTATAGCCATTCCCAATAATCTATTAATTTCCTCATCAGATTGAACTGGTAAATGTTTGATATGGTTTTCTAAAGGATGAATACACATCTTGCATGGATCGGAAAAACTTATAAGAGGCTGCTGTATTTCACCCTTTGATGTCCTTATAATCGGCTGTGCATTTTTCCAGCCTGTACATTTACAATCCTGTGTTTGGCAAGCACTGTAATTTGCAAGCTTCAATAATTTCTTTTCTTGTGGCCAACTGTATGTCTGCTGTTTGCGTTGATGTATTCTTTGCAAATTACTCGTTGGATTTACTTGAGTCTGTGGTTTACTTGAGTTTGCATCCTTATTAGTACTTTCCTGCGATGTATTGGTGACAGACTGTCCAGTCTCTTCCGGAGCATTTAATATTGTATGAGAATTGACGTCCTCGGATGCCATCCTCAAAAATATAATTATGTTTGTTATATATTAAGAATTATAGTTATATGTAAGTCACTCTTTAGTCATATCAATAATCACCATAATTTTTGAAGGTATAGAATAATATATATACTTACTAACTTACATAAATTTCTATTACAATCAATTATGACATAAAGAAAATAAGTTGCTATTTGGCGTGATTAAAGTTAATTATGCTTTTATTCTCAATTATATTTTTGGCTTTCGTATTAAATAATAAGTATTTTATAATATTTGGGATTAAATGATCGATTATAACATTTATAAGTAATTTTTTTGTAGCCACATTTTCCACAATTTAGTATCGTTGATTTAAAACTTAACCGGGATTAGATTAGGTTATGTATGTATGTACACAGTAGGACCGATGGCGCTACCATCGAGGGCTGCAACTGCTGCAAGCGGGTTAGAAGTGGTTGGAAGTTGGAAATCGCATCACTGCTTCGCATTACACGAAAAATGGCAGAGAATTTTGGAAGAGAAACTCCACCGATTTATAACGAGGAAACCAAGACTGCGGGACAACCGTTGTCGGATTTCTTGTTGCAATTGGAGGATTATACACCCACGGTATCTATTCACTTTCTTTGTAATACAAATTTCTCTAAAAAAATTAATTTGCACTTGGGTAATTTATAATTATGCTTGTGTTATTCTACAATGTTAACGTTAGGTACCTGATGCCATCACTGAACATTACTTGCATACGGCTGGTTTTAACGCTATAGATCCTAGGATGTAAGTACGAGCGCAATATGTTTAATTCTAATATACACACTAGGGTTTCATAAATCTCATTACAATTTGCTAAATCAAGATCTTTTTACGTTTTGAATTTTTGCTTTGGATCTATAGGATCTCAAAGCTCCTTAATTCTATCAATAGTTAAACATTATGGACTTGTTCCTTAATAAATTCTCTACTAATTAAAAAAAAATTAATTAAAATATGTCCATTTTTATGAAAATTATGATAACAATTATGGATGTGGTTCAAGAGACCCGAGTGTGTATATCAAGGATACAAAAAATAAACATATAGTTAGCGTTAAATTATCTTGTAGTTTGTTAAAAGTTTTGTTAACTAAACATGTAATATTTATTTAGTAAATTTATCAGATAATGTTACATGTATTATTATATGATTTGTTATTTTAGAGTACGCCTGGTATCATTAGCAGCACAAAAGTTTATCTCAGAAATTGCCAACGATGCACTGCAGCACTGTAAAACACGTGGTGCTAATCAGAATACAAAAACAAAAGGAAAGGACCGACGTTATACTTTGACTATGGAAGATCTGACACCAGCAGTTGCAGAATATGGAATAATAGTGAAGAAACCACATTATTTTGTTTGATTGAACAAACTATGCAATTTGTTGTATTTAAATTACATCAGTACGATTAATAATAAGTAACTACATTTTCGCGCAAATTTGTCATCAAGAGTCAAAATATCATCCATATAAAAAAAATATATTGTTATATAAAGGAAAAAATCATGTCCACATATGTATTACAGTTTGAACATATATTTAAAAGAAGTTCATTAAAAACGATATTATTGTACAAATAATGTCCTTATTTACCAATGATAACTCTAATCTTAGTTTAACTTTTTATTTTTTTTAGTTCTTAAAAAAAAAGTAATGAATAAACTAAGAACGAAGTTAAAAGGACAAATTTCTTAAAACGTTTTAACGTTGTAATTATAATATTAAGGACACAGATATATATATATCCTTTATTATGTTGTTGTATCATCGCTAGTATTGTAAGAATTTGGAAAATAAGTTTCATATAATAAAAATTATGTCATACTGTATCAATTTATGTTTTAATGTTTGAATAAATATGCATTTATTTAAAAAAAAGATATCTATTTTTATACTTATATATTTGAATTAAAAATATATGTATAAAATATCTTAGATTAATTTTTTTATAACTATCAATTATGTATATTTAAAGCACAGAATAATAAGATAGATCAATTATTGTTAAAAAATACATTATTACTTTAAAAAAAATATACAAATTGCATATCCTGCAAAAAATCATAATCATAATATGAGACAAATTAAAAGATTGCGGAACAAAATGTGTCGTATTACCGATCGCCGATCGGAATATTTTTAAAGGCGCTAATAGATCAGACTCTAGGTATTCATTTTTTCTTTCGACCTTTTCCCTAAGGCGGAAACGTGAAAGTGAAAATTTTTTGTATGATGTTCATAATACATTCATAATAAGTTTTCGCTTTTCACATTTCCGCTCTAAAAAAAAATTACAATTTACATGGTTGATACCCTGCTCTCGTTAATTCGATATTGGTCGTATCTACTTCGCCGCTACATACAGGATTACAGGAACAGGAATCGTGGCTGGTCATAGTCATTCTTTAATTATGTAAAGAAGAGGAAGAAAAATACGAGGCTCTGCAGGGATCACCTAACCTAAAAGTTAAACGCGCTATATAGGTACGTCTTGCGCCAAAAAGGTAAAGATTGAAGACACTTTAAATGGCTTGAACTTCCTCTTTACCTGAAGGAAAATATAAAAAAAAGTTGGTTGCCTCGGTGACAATAAACATGTCCATTCAACTCTAGATTTCTATCGATATATTTCTCTCTGCCAATTTACATTACACTCATGAATTCATGATTATAACGCGACATCCAGCGACATCTCGTTTATCGGTATATATATGAGGAAATTCTTGAATATACAGAAATATAAAATCCCATAAAAAGACACGTGAATATGCGATGAATCAGAATAAGTAGTCGAGGATTGTTCGCGAAGAGGTTGGTTCTAAACAGTGTTTTCAATTAATGGGCGCATCGTTTGTTAAACAGAGCAGCGACAAAATGAGCAAGTACGTATTATTTTTAATACTGCGATTAACCCAAACTTAATCCACCTGCGTTTTATATAAACAAACTTTTTTGCCTCAGTCCTGAGAAAAAAGGACCAAAAAAAGATGTCAAGCAAGGTCAGTCAAATAGTATTGCGCGACCGCTTTCCATTGAAGGTCCCTCGACCTCTAATAGTGCCGAACAAATTCCACCGCAACCATTACCAAATCAACCAAGGCAACCAACTAATTTGCAAGGATTACTCAAATATGCTATGGATGCAGCACAGTCTGAGGATCTGGAAAATAAACCACAAGTTTATCCTTTGGACGAAGAAGTACGAAATTTAATTTAAGACCTATTTATGCACTATTTGTTTGTATATTGTCTCTATTTAATGAGATACATTTATACTTTGTAGAAAAAGATATTTTTGAATGAGGCGCTATCATCGTTAACAGTAAACGTAATAGAAGAATTGCAGAAAGCTGTACAAATTTTGTCTAATGTCGTCAATCTACGAGTAGATGATGATTCATCGGAATATGAGAGTGTATTGGAAAGGATGACAGATTTTGTAGATAATATCGATATAGCAAACGACTTTTATAAGATTGGAGGTTTCTCGATATTTCAACCATGCTTGAATTCCTCTCATAGTAACATCAGATGGCGGACAGCTGATATTATCGCTGAATTAGCACAGAATAATCCGTTTTGTCAAAACAAATTATTAGAAACTGGAGTATTTCCTGTGTTATTATCTATGATTGATACAGATCCATCAGAACAGGCCAGGATAAAAGCTCTGTATGCAGTGTCATGTAAGTAATGGAATGATATAAAAATCTCAGTCTTTTATCTTTTTCTTCTTACGTTAAGCCTCTGGTCTGTGCCATACCTCTCATATGCTTGTGATGTGCATGCTGGTTATTCAATTATCACAAGCATATGGGACTTACAGTTTTTAACGCCGATTTCGAACAGTGGATTTTATTGAATGGTGTTTCTGTGGGCAAGAATACTCTCTGGAGGTTGCCAGCCTTTTCCAAAAGGAGTTACGAGAATAAATATTTTGGTTCCTTCAGGAATCGAATCTGGTACCTCTGGCAGACCAGTGTGCTACCATGCTATGCTTGTGTTCTTTTATCTCATAATTATGTTTTGAATATAGGTATAGTAAGAGGATATCCAGCATCATTACAGTATATGGATATGAATGATGGTTACTCGGTGCTCTTGCGGGCAATGCAGAGTCCAGTGGAGAAACTACAGATAAAATCTGCATTCTTACTTTCCAGCTTGTGCAGTAGAAATAATTCAAACAATATAAAATATACTTTAATAAAAATGGGATTCATAGAACAAGCAGCAGGATTATTGGGTAGAATGAATTTACAGCCGACAGTCAGGTAATACATTTGGCATTTCGAAGGAACATAACAATGTTTAACAGTTTTTTGAGATATAAATCTAGTATTCTTTTATTACAGAGAACAACTATTAAGAGTGCTCAGTGGCATGATAAACGATAACTTTTTGCCGGCATTAAAGGAATGTCGTCGATCACAATTGTGTTTAAGATCCACTTTGGAGCAACTGTTGACAGAACTAAAACCTGTGGAAAATCAGGATGAGATTGACATGTGTTCCGAACTTCTAGATAAAGTATTTTCGGAATCTGATACGTATCAAGAGAGATAACGAATTTGTATTATAATCTTTCCTTTAAATAAAATCTTGTTTTGTAATTCTAACATAGATTCTTATAATTTTCAATAATTTGAAGGAGTGTGCATAGGTTCTAACTGACAAATAAAACTATTTCTTATGTATTACATGCATCAAACAAATCATGAGAATATTTTATTTCGTAAACCGATGTTTTTAGCCCTACGATCGGCAAAATTGGACAACTGACGAAATTTGTTTTCGAAATCTTTCACGTTCTGGGTCACACGTAATCTTCTGTATTTTAAACATTTAAACACGTGCGTATGAACCAATTGTCTCTGACAGACACTTTGTGTAATACGAATCGGCGCGTCTTCAAATTAATTCGCTCAACTGAACGCTCACGCACATCCGGTGCGTCAATCAGGCGGTTCGTTTCATCATCCATCCCCACCATGACTCCTGCTGGCGTGTACTCCACTACTTTTCTCTGTCTTCCCTGATACGCTCCGTATTCTCTTCTGATATCTTTCTCTCTTCCTCCTGTCAGCGCGCATCTGGTCTAGTTCGCCAAATACTAACCGGCTAGTATAGTCAGCCGGCAGTTCTCACCGGACCTTCTCAGGTGATTCGCCTTTCTTTCGACATCCTCCAAATGTCTCAGAAATACTCGAGCATACGTTTACTCAAGATCACGGGACAGTTGCCGAAACGTCGCTCTTCTCGGAACGGATTTCCCTGATGGACTTGGATTGACGTGATTCAAAATCGGTCTTAGGATCCAGCACATCACGATAGAGAAAATACGTGATCAACCAGAATGACGCGAAAGAGGAGCATCTCATCGTTATAATATCCCGTCAGTTAGCCGAAACCGTCTTGCGAATTATCAAATTGAAATCACCGCGAGTTATCCGCGAGGGATCCAGAGACGCAAACGCATGCATCAGCGCGGTGATCGAGAATTAATTTAGTGTCGAGGATTGATTATTGTGTTAAAAGTTATCAATTATAAACTTATTATCAATTCGATTATTTGGAGTTGCGGCTGATGAAAATCCAGCGAAGAGTTATTCTATATCTATACATATATCGACAATTTTCTGCAACTAGAATACAACTTTAAAAAAAATGTATACTGGAAAAGAAAACATGGGACCATTTGAATTTAAATAGATTTTTTATCAAGAGATTCAAAGAATTCCTAAGAATTTTTAGAGAAATTGATTATTCAATTTTAAAGGTATTTACAAGAAAACTTTTATAATTAGATATTTCATAGTAAAAAGATAATTACAATGTACGATATTCTTTTACAACAGACAATAAAACTTATCGTGGAATAGTAAGTTTTTAATTTAAAAGTATTACTCTCTGACATTTCAATATTAGCGGAATAAAAACGAGAGAAAACTAAAGGAAGAAATAAAAAAGAAACTCAAGAAACACAGCTCGGTCATCAGCTCACTTTCTTTTTCATAAAAGAGAACAAAGATGAATCGTACGCAAGGAAACGAGCTCTGGGTATTCGGATACGGATCGCTTTGCTGGCATCCTGGTTTCGCGTATACGAAAAGCACGACCGGCTACGTGAAGGGTTTCAGCAGGCGATTCTGGCAAGGCAATACCACGCATCGTGGAACGGAAGAAAAGGTGAGTCAATCTGTCCTTCAATTTTTTTCTTTAAACTTTAATTATCACCGAGTCACGTTTGTCATCGCTGATCACACTGAGAAAAAAATATTTAAACATTTATTTGTAAAATGAATCTATCTTACACAAATAAATTGTTAAGTATCTTTTTCTTAGCGTAAAACTGTTTCCATATTCAGGAACTTGCGTATTCGATAAATTGAAAGAAACAAATCATTTTTCGAGACTGCATTTAATTGCACAATCTCTTGCTTGATTTTTTCTTTTCTAACAATGAAATCTGTAACCGTGGCGGCTACCAAATAACACAATTTCATGTTTAATAAATAATCGAAATAATAAATGTATTTCAAAAAAAGAATTTCAAATGTTATTTTGACGAAAATAATAAAAGTGCACTTTTGAGATATGCATTTGAGTTAACACTTTTTAAGGCTTTAAACTTCATACATATGTATATCTGTACATATTTAAATAATAATTAGAACATATAAATGCTAATTATAAGAAAATTAGGCTTTACTTTAATGTAATAACAAAATTACGATATTTATGTTTTCGTATATTAATAATATACGTACCTTCATAAGAGGGTGAAAAAGTCTGTTTTCTTAATTTCAGTACATTTCTTTGCGTTCTGATAAATAGTACATTTTTGCATACTCTAAGTATGTATTTATAAAATTGTAGCAGAGATTGAGACGTAAATGTAACTTACGTCTACCATAAACTTACAAATGATTTTAATTTAATTGACTATCGGTCGAGATATGTTTTGTTTATGAATATTAATCATGCAGAAACATAAATCGCAATATGTTATCGTATCACTAAAAGAAAATTTAATTTTTTGTAATTATCATTTGTAATTAGCATTTAGTCTCAATTATTATTCATGTCTGTATAAAAACTAAAACCTTATATAATAGTAAGAATTGCAAAAGTTAATACATTCGTACTGTTATATAATACACATTTACGCCGCATATTCGATAAATATTTCGAAAATTATGTTGCGAATGTTAAGAGATTTTTTAGTATGAATCTAAAAAACTATTAGAACTTTATAATATATCTCTAATATTTTACTATTATTTATACTATTTCACATGGCAGCTTCTCGTGTATTGATGCGACAATACGCATCTTCAGTTCACGTGATAATAAAGATCGGAACAGCCGTACGGACTTTGGATAAAGCAAACGTTCGTGGCAACGACCCTATCGATACGATAAAATAGCAAACAAAATCCCACAATTATGAATAGGAATTTGTAATTAATTATGCTCTCTTAATCAGAGAAAAAAGAGCGTGTCCTGCATTCGCCATAATATTTACAAATTGGAAATATGAATTATTCCCAAAATATAATATGTTACATCAATGTATACATATGTGTATGTGTTGTACGTGAAATGTATAAGCGCTCTTATATAAACAGAAATTATATATAAAAAGAAAAAATAGAGTTGTAAAATATTCAAAAAATATAACTAACAAGTTATGTTTTCATGATATATTTATTTCGGAAATTTAAACTGAGTTGATCAAATTTGGCTCGAAAAACATTAATAATACGAATTAATGAAAGCTGCTTTAATCGTAGATGGATGTAAAAATCGACGATTACATCTTTTTTGTTTAAAAGTTTTTAGCTTATTGCGTATTGCGTTAGCTTAATGCCAAGTCCTGCTGCATTCATTTATTTCGCGGACGATATATATCCAAAATATTTATAATATATCTTCACGTATAAAAATGTGCTTCATACATTTTGCACGTGATTTTTATTTTCAGTCATTTGAAAATTCTATTAATACCTGAATTTTATTGCGCTCGTCGATGTATGTCGCATATTCTTTTTTTGGTTTTGGCCTAATTCCAAGTGTACGCGATACATTTTTCGCGACACTGATAATTTATGTGTGATTGTCTCGATTTGATAAGAGTCTATCGACATGTAATTTTGATAAAATTGCGCTGGAAAGATCGAGATTTGGAGGACACCATGTGAACATAACGTGCACAAAATAAAAATAGCATACTATTACGAGCGCAAAATGCCGCAACTTGTAATAATGAGAAAAGGTTCGACGACTGTCTTTTGACCAAGCTTTATTCAACGGTGTTACAAGCAAACTTACAGACTAGCGAGCTAAGGTTGATGACGAGATTATGGCTTACGAAATTAGACTAACTCGAGCTGAGCTAGAAGGATCTTTTTATTGACAAAAGAGTCTTCTATTAGCTCCAACCAATAACGTGAGATTTTTAAGTACCAAAAATGTACGTAAAAGGGATAAGGAAAAACTGTAGAAAGTGACGATGACTCAAGAGTCTATTAAAATGAAACATAAAATAAGTTCATTAGACATATACCCCTTTTTTGCCTATAATTCTAAAAACATCTTAAAACTGAATATTCAAAAGAGGTTTTCAAAAGGATTAAATTGAAAAGAAAATAAAAGGACAAAAAGGAAAACAAAGCAATTAGTGAAAGTAATAAAATAATGGCAAGAAACAAGGTTTATTAAGAAGGTTTAGGGAAAAATACGTTAAAACTTTCTATACACTAAAACATGACAACGGTTACGTTGGATGTAACAATACTCGAAATTCATTTTTACTCTCTCTTTGTTTTAACACGCACAAGAAAACCCACGCGCTTTGTCACTTCCTTCTTTATTTTGTTTATGTTTTATCTTTCTTTTCTTTATTTTTTTTTAACTGAAAAATAATAAAAGAATGTTACTTTTGATATGTATAACTTATTACTATAATATGTAAATGTAGCTGTTTAAATTAATGATTTAAAAATAAATATTATAAATAAATATTTTATTTTTAACTAGCAACCCTCAGTCCAGCTTCGCGTAGACAGAATAAGCCGAGAAAACGCTCTAAAGATTGTTTTTTCTTTGATTTATCTCACTAAAATTGTCTCTGCTCAACTTTCTTATATACTACTCAACAAAATTAAAGGATCACTTGTTCCACATTGCAAAAATAGACAAATTTCGAGACAGAATAACTTCATCAAAAATCATCGTATCGAGATTTTTAAAAAAAGTATTTTAAAGCTTGAAATCTCTACTTTTCAGACCGGTACTTCAAAAAACGGTCTTACTGATATTTCATGAAGTTACACTAACATAAATAAAAGTGCGTCAAACCTCAAAATTTTTTACGAAGTTTGAAAAGTTCCACCGCACGAACTAAAAATTGTGCACAAATGGAGTTGACAGCTTTCGAAGGAATGAATCCTTACCTTTAATTTGCTTTTTTATCGATCTCTGTACGATTTTTTTTCACCGAGTTATTTAACGTTGAAGTAAAAATGACCCTTTTTGCTACATGTAGTCTTTTTAAAGTTTATATATACATTTTTCTTTCTTGGAAAGAGAGAATAAATGTTGCGATATAATGCGTTTTGTATTACACTTACGTATAAATTACGTGAAATTGTATATATAGCCAGTTATAAACCAGTAGTAACTGATATCTTCAATGAAAGATAAGTTCCGTGTCTTGGATTATTCTTTTTGCATTTCGCAACAATGCGATATGTACTTTCTGCTTACAAATAAGTCTATATTATGTGTATTAAGTATGTATACAATAATATTATATTATACACACACATACATATAATATAAACACACGTACGCATATTTAATGTAATAATATAATCCTTTAATAAAGCTAAATTATTATGTGTACTTACATGTATAATTAGTCTAGTCTATTTCTCTAGAAAAATTAGTTTACAAACAAATTTCGTTTCATATTGAAAAGATTTTCTCAAACACAAATTAAAAAATTCTCTTTATACAAATAATTTCTCTCGTATCTTAATCTCTCAATAAGATGATTGTTGCATTTATTTCCTTTATGTTGCAGCCCGGACGAGTCGCTACTCTAATCGAGGACAAAGAGGTACTTGATATTTAATTGAAACGTCTTCTCATCAAATGCAATATAAATTATCAACTATGAGAGTCATGTGCAATATAGATTTTTTATTCGCTTGCAGGCTACAGTTTATGGACGAGCGTTCCAACTTCAGAATATTACGGAGAACTTTTCTTATTTAGAAAACCGCGAATGTACCTTAGGAGGATACGACCTGACAACTATCGCAACGTTTTACAGCCAGCATGAAGACTTGCAATTCCCCGTGATAATTTACATTGCCACCAACAAGAACAAACAGTGGCTCGGCGAGACATCGTTGCAGACTGTAGCGCGCCAAATCACTGAATGTTCTGGTCCAAGTGGACATAACGTCGAATACCTTTTACGGTAAGAGATACATAATGCAAGCTGTGTTCTAAGTTCATCATTATCTGATACTTAATACTTTGATAACGTTATAATTTATATAATAAGACGATAAGTATTGGTGTGACAGCTTGGCGGAGTTCATGCACCGTTATTTGCCAGAGGCGCACGACGAGCATCTCTTTACACTGGAAATGTTAGTACGTTCGCGAATAAAGGAGGAGAACATGTGCTTGGTGACGTTGATGGGAAATAAAAATTTCGATGTCGACCTCGATGAGGACACGGAATCGGCTGTTCCCGCAGAAGAAGTTAACGAGCGACCCAGGGAGAACCCTTTCCAGTTCAGCGCACGAATTCCGTCCAAGAGTTTGCGTTGTGTAAAAATGTAATCAACTGGATCGTACAGTTGTATTTTGCAACTTCGATCGCACATCTCTGTATGATAATATGGTAACGAATGAAAGAAACAGAAAGTTATTTTCTTACTAAAGAAACGTGCAATTTGAGTACAAATTTTCGAACGTACAAACTAGTAATGCAATTACACACTTTCATATTGAATGAATATTGAACTAGAGGGACAATAGTTACTTGAAGAAAAGAGTAAAGAAAAGAACTAGAGTCTATATTTAAAAAACAACTATTTGCAAATTTTTCCGAGATCTCACTAATAACTGTCTCCTTTATGGAAACTATACGTGTAGTATACGTTTGTGAGACGGCTGTGTTAATTTTGTATCGCGTAACCGGCGTAACGTGCTGGACACGTGGGTGGACACCTAGATCGAATTCCTCTATGTACAATTTTATTATAACACGACTCTATATTTATGTATTTTTGTGTGTATTATTTTTAATATATAAGAGAAATTATAAGTCTCCTATTATTTTATTTAATTGATAATTATTACTATAGAATCACAGATAATAATAAAAAAACAATTATTTCTTTAAAATTGCGAAAATATTTCTAAAGCTTAAGACAAAAGAAAAGGTATTTGCAAGTATTTTATGTATGAAACATTTTTTGGAGACTGTCTTCCAATAAATCTTTTTTAAATGTTTAATTTTAAGATATTCTGATATTGCAAATTTGCAATTTGTTTCATTAGTTTAATTACTATATTTTGCGTATTTTGTATTATTTATATACGGTACAGGGCGAGGCTATTCTATAATTTCAACTTTAAAATAATATGAAAATTTTTATGACGGTAAATAATGTTTTTTGCAGTAACGTACGTGTTTATAGCTACATTGTAGATTGTATAATTATGATTGTTCCTTGAGAACACAAGTACAACCTTTAAATGTTTAAATATTCAATATGTGCTATTTAGAAACATAAATATTACTACGAAAAATAAAAAAGGCCTTGTTCTCTATTCTATATATGTATATTTTTTTAATATAAAAAATGATTTTTTAGATATGCCATGTTCTATGAACATGTAAACACAAACTATTAGTAATTTATACTATATGTATAATTTAAATTAATATGAAATTTAAAGAAGGCCTTTATGATATATAAGATAAAAAGTACAAGTCTTAAAGTTTTTAACATATATCGATAAAGTAGGGAAATTATTGCTAACCATCGATCGATAAGCTAGCGACTTTGTATTTGTGATTTTGCTATCGGTAAAATTGTTACCTATATGGGCATTATTTCTTACAATTAAATATAATTATTTTATGTACATACGATTTTTATCTCTTTGAATACATAAAATAATTTTCCTCTGATCATTATTTCGAAATTACAAGATAATGACGTATATGTGTATTACTTTTACATCCTTTGCGTCCATTTATTTGACCAATGAGAATGGCATTTGATAGGAAATTTCATGCGTACATATTTTATTTGAATTCTTCAAAATACATTCAATCCGTCGAGAAATTTATAAACGGTACCTCGTAATATGGAACAGTCATTCATCCAGCCGCTTAGACTCTCCATGAATATTAGACTGACCATTCTATGGAACGTTGCGCTGCATTTTAGCTACCATTATTTTACGTAATAATTCGAACGTTCAAGTTTTAGAAAAAAGATTTCCTGGAGAACACACACACATATACACATATACAGGGTATCATTAACCGATTAAATCACCTATATACACACACACATACACTCGATAGCAGTGTGATAACGGAACATTTGTATCCGTCCCTATCGTTCTATTAGCGATATTATATCCATAATTTAATCGATTTAAGTTGTCGAAATGATCGAAAACACCACGCGTTTTGCTGATAATCGGAAAAGCGAACCGTTTGATGTAAACCGTAAAATTTGATGAAGAAGATTGTTCGTGCAATATTTCATCCGTGATAATTAATTAACAATTAAAACATCGAATAATACAACATATAACAGAAAATTTTTGTTTTTAATCTTAATTAAAAGCGCATAGCGGAAGACTATCTTTTTCTCTTTTTAAAAAGAAGAGCCGTAACGTATGTGCATATTTTATAACGTACTAGCATTTCTTATCTGAAAGATTGTAACGGACTATTCGCAAAAAAAAAAGAAGACATTTTGGACGCAGCCCGATTGTCGCATTCGCGATGCAGTTACACGCCACGGTCTTGACTTAAGTCCCTAGAGTATCTCAAAGTCACGCGTTCGCAGGCGCGAGTCGGGCTTAGAACGGGTTTACGTTAGACATTTATTGCGCGACACTGTAGAAAAAAAAAGGACACTCACACAGCTCGTCTTCGTAACGCAAAAGAGACCTATGCAACGTTCGCTTCTCACGCGTCTTTTTTCTCTCACCGATGAGTAATCGAAAATATAAATAGCAATCTCGCGGCAGAGCGTATTGGATCTATATAATCAAAGCAATTACGTTTAATTTCTCATAACCCTTCGCACTAGTATATATGTATAAAACATGATTTTTTTTTCAATATTAAGTATCAAACACGTGTAGAAATCGTACGACCATGTACTTGATTTCAACAGCGATCCTTCCTCGAATGGATTTTAATTCACCTAATTCTTATACGAGGGAACGTTACGGCAATCTATAATCCGATTCTTCACCGTTACGTCAGACCGAACACTGTTTTAGTTATGGATGCCGATTTCTTACGATAAAGAGAAATCCGTCTGTTGAAGTTATTTCAAGCCGTCTCAAACAAATAATAACGACTTACCCGCACAGTCTTTACAGAATGGACATATACCGGCGTCCGTCACGCATCGCGACGTTAGAACCAGCCAGGTATCTCAGGGATAACGTTACTCGGTAGCACAGTGCGTCTACTGTCCTGTAATTGCCATTAAGAATAGACCCAAGAAATCGATTAAAACCTCTTTACAAATTGTACGAAAGTTGCACTGAACTTTTCTTTCAAAAGAGAATCAGAAGTCTATGGCGAAAAGAAAATATCAAATCGAAATTCTATTCTGTTCCATTTAAGCTTCCTAAATATAAACTTCTGTATTGCTTGTATATACAGGGTGTTTCTTAAATATAACGTCCGCTAATAATACAGTGATATTTTTAATAAAAAAAACTAAGTCGAAAAGTCTTTTACTGTTTTGCAATTTTCGCAATATTTTTATTTAGTTGTCTAATGAACAAAATGTCTAAAATCGACACATAAGACGACTTTAAGATATCTTTAAAAGTTCTTTAAGAAACATTTTCAAAATATTTCACAAAGAGCACTGAAAAATATCTTAAAATAGTCTTATACATTTTATGCGTTTATTCGGGCATTTTTAGAAATTAATATCTCGTTAATTATTGGGAAAATTACAAAATATGAATATATTATATAATATTTCAAATATTTTTTATTTTTGCACAGTAAAATGATCACATTAAACAAATATTAAATATTAAATCTCGTAAAACCGTATATGTGAGAAATGTCTTTTAAATATTGAAGAAACATTGTTTGGTTCGTTAGCCTTTCGATCTATATCTTTTAATTTGTTATGATAAACCTATATTGTTATTTTATAATATAAAATTATACTTGCAACCGATAAGAGTCGAAATAATTCGTCATTAACGTCCGCAATGAAAGTATACTACGATCGTTTTTTGCTTCCCTAAAGCCGCAGGTATCGCATGGAAATTTATGTAACGACGTGCCGTGCCGCCTGTCCTCTTGTTGCAATGATATTTACTGTGAAAAGCGAATGAAGACGCTGCCGCATGCAACAAATTGGATATAGTCGGCATGAAGAAGTTAACAACTCGCACACGAGCCAACTCGAGCGTGTACGGAGTACACGCTTCGTTTCGCTGAAATAATAACGAAGATCCCCAGACTTGGCCCGTGTCGTCACGGTGTAAGCAGGAATTTCTTGCTCTCCTTTCCTTTACATTTTCACCCAAAATTACAAAAAAGTTCCTGCAAACGTCAACCGCGCGGATGAAACTCCGAGGGAATTAATGCAAGAGACATGCAATACGGAAGATTTAAAATTAAATTTCGTAAAAGCGCTACGTTTTTGTTGAGCAAAGTGATTATTTCCTCGAACTATGTATATGTATGCGAAATATAACAGTTTCGAAAGACTAGAATCACCCGTTTTAATTAACGCTCGTTGAATATCATGATTCCTCGAAGTATTCCTCTGTATTTTAAATTTCTAAGCACGTATTGTTTTGGAAAATTAATCAGATTCGAATCTCTGAATGATTATCGTGATTACGAGTGACACACGCGATGTTAACACCTACCTACAGCTTCTCAAGGGCTATGGGTACACGGCAAATTGCTGAGCTCGCGCAAGAAACGTCCTACACTAAACACGTAGAACTAATCGGTTTTATACGTCGATTTCAACGATTGACAAATCAACGATCCGGCAATGCCGATCGCGCCCGCGCATGAAAATACATAGGCAATAACGACAAAAACGTCGTTAAGGACATGCGGCAAGAGCTCAAGGAGCGTAAAATGTGACACATTACGCTATGCAACGTGATTTCCATCGCTAGCTGTTACGATCAGTAAAATCTTTCCGCGTTTCAATTATGAAAAAGTTCGTGACAAACAATCACGTTATTTTTCCTTCTCTATTTCGGTTAAAACTAGCTTATCTAATATAATTCCTATCGCTAGAATTAGCGATTCAACTAGTATATTTTAAGCATTAATATTAACTTTTTCTAAATTTTTTACATACACTTGAATATCATCTTCTTTTTCTTGTAATAAATTCGTTTATTTTTTTCACTATTTAATATTTATACATTGTGAAAATATTTAAACAAGATAGATTAAAAATATGCACGTACACACACATATATATATATATATATAAAATGGTATTTTTTTCTCAAGACTTACACAATATAATAAAAAATACTTTTGAATCAGTTAATTGCAAAAAGGAAGTTAATGTGAAGTTAAACGATAGCATTTTGCTAGCAATTAATCGTAACTATCTGCTTTGTAAATATAACACTATGGTTACAAGCGTCTCAGAGAAATTTCTCTGAGAAATGTGCAACCGCAAGACAATGCCGTAGTTCCCGTGGAGTATAAATACACGAATCAAACCGTGCATTAACATCTTGCCACAATTACACGCGTCTCTTTATTATTACACGTCGAAAAACTTTCGCTGCGTAGACATTTTTATTTCCTGCCAATTTCCACGGAGCGCACGTTATAACATCTTGCGACTTTTTCTCATGCACTTCTTTCTACCGCATCCGGTTTACAATTCGGAAAAAAGATCAAAATTATTGCGCCAGTCGAAACAGCAAAGATAAAATCTATACGAAATAATGCTCCAGCATATTTTTTCAAATAATCAAATAACCGCATATAT